TTATAATGTTTTACACTAAAATTATATCTCATGACAAAGTTTAGAATTGCACCTCACTTGAATTGTTTAAGGTTGCAACCTTATGCAAACTACACCCATATCAAAAACATGGAGGCGACTGGCAGCCCCAAATTTTCAAAATGGAGAGAGAGGGGAGCTTTAATCAACATTAGATAACCACTTCCATTAGTGAAGCACAGTTAAATGTCAAAGTTTTCTAGATGGTGAGACAACTTCGGTACAAAATGGTGGCAAATACCTTCAACCGTCCGATATAGAATTGGATGGCTAGGGTGTGATATTTATTTATGAGACAAAAATTTCCACATTTTGTAGGTTACTCAATGGGAAAAGATTGTTTCCTAAAGTTGCCATCCTAAAAATGCTCATTACTAGGGTTTTATCAACAGTAAATATAGATTATGTCATGATAAGGGTATAGCTTTTTTGGAACAATACAAAAACAATAGAGTTATCAAAATACATTTATGAGATTAACTATTTAACATTGGATGAGGTTTGTATAAAGTGCCAACCTTATGCTATTGAAGTAAGGTGCACTTCAAAACTATGCTGAAAACGCAGTTTCAGTGCCGTAAAAGGCTCGCGAATGTATTAAAATCTATTGTTGCCCAATTATGAAATTTAAAGTTTAATCAAGCAGATCTATTAACACTTGAAAATCTTGAAAATGGACGGTCCAGATAATGTGTAAGAAGATGAATTATTTTTAGGACCAGAAATCCCCTTTCGTTTATGAACCTCGAGGGCAAGACTATTGATTTGAGGGGTTTCCAGTATAAGAACAACCATTTCCAGTATAAATTTTTTCCTTCAACATTTTATTCATAGTATTTAATTTAATTTATCTATAGGTGATTAAGAGTTGGAATAGTTGAAAACAAATAAATCATTAAACAATTAATAGATTTAAAGGTTATTTTGATAAATTTTGTAAAAAAAATGCCTATGTTTTTTCCATGGAAAGAGAGCATAATCTGCACCTCTTTTAAGACAATATTTTATAATGAACACAGCTTAGTGATTTAACACCCGATGTGAAAAGAAATCTCTTCACGCGTTTAAGGTGATAGAAAAAAGAAGAGAGAGAAAGCGGTTTAGGGTTTAAGAGAGAGAGGGAGCGTTTGAGCTGATAATTCACTGGCCTTTAATTAGAGAGAGAAAGAGCGAGCTACTAATTCACTAATTTTACTCATAAAAAGAGAACATAACTTGCACTTCTTTTAAGAAAGAAAAACTCTGAGGGAGCGTGTAATATCATTACCAAACTATTTGTGTTCCCACTGGTGTACGCTCCCTCTCGTGAAAAGAGTTTTATTTATTTTTGGACAGTGTTCTTGAATTTTAATTTTGGTGTGGTTTCTATAAGGTTGCGACCTTAAACAATCCAATTAAGGCGCACCTCTAAATTTTATCATAACATAAATTTTGGTATAGAAAATTCTTAGGATGATTTGAAAATCTATTTTCATATCTAATTATAAAATTCTAAACTCCAAAATGGTTATAATCAAGTAGATCTATAATTCTACATCTTAAATTCTACATTTTAAAGTTGCAATTTTATATAATTTTTTTTTATATAAATATAGAGGAAGCATTAAAATAAGGAGATTACATTATCATAAATCAAAAGCACCACTGAAGAAGCACCCTTCTCACGAGCTCAAATTTCTAGATCTAACCTCTTCAACCTAATGACCAACCTCAGTAAAACGTAATCTTAAATATCCCATATAATGATTTCAAAAATTGGAATTGTGTTTTGAACAATCTGGGTATGATTTTGATTTGCCCAGTCCAGATCGAGAAATTCTTGAGTGTGTTCAACTACTATGATAAACAACTAGTTAAAAAAAGACAAAAAAAGAAGAGCTAAAAATCTAGAAGAATCAGCTAGTCCCAAGGATTGAAATAACTTCACTCTATCTATAAGCCAACTCAAGGGATTTTGAGTTTATCAATTAATGCATGAAAAAATAGCCTCTTATTCTTGAATAGAGAAGTGCAATTTTGGATGGTCAGGTCTAAACATCTAAAACATAAAATTCCAATTTTTGTTAGTTTAGACAAATTAATTATTTGGCAATATTAGAATATATCCCAAAATTCCCCGTTAATAAAAAATCTTAAACTAGTCTTTAAACTTGGGGAATAAGCACACAATATGCTCTCCAAGGAGCACTCAATATGGGCCAATAGACGGTGCTGGCATTCATTTGGTTTCTAAGCGGCCCTCCCGCGTATTTAAGAAATGCGGGCTTGTCAATAAATATATTTTTTAAAATATAATTTGATCCTAATATTTAGATAATACATGATCTTTAAGATGGAGATCATAAATATGAAAAAAAAAATTAAGATCGAAAACTAAAAATTATAATTATATTAAAAAAATATTTGAACCATTACTTACAATTGTTTTAGATGAGCCACCTATTTACATCCATTTTTAGGAAAATTGTTTGCGGGGCGGGCTTGCATTTCTACAATGTGAAGTCCATAGGTACAAAACATCAATGTTAAAAATGAATGCAAATAGGTGGTCCATTTTAAAACAATTATAATTAATAGTCCAAATATTTTTTTAATATAATTATTCTTTCTAATTTTTTAATTTTTTTTTCATATTTATGATCTCCATATTAAAGATTATATATTTTATAAAAATTAAGGTCAAATTATATTTATAAAATATATTTATTTCTACTATATGCGGGCTGGCCGCGTAGAAACCGTGTCCCATCTTTAAGATTTATACCTTTGGACCCATCTTGTAGAAATGTAATTTAAAACGATTTTCCTTCATTTAATAAAACACTAGTGAGATATTTCATTATTAAATCACAGGTTTTTTACGCGGTGAAATACGACCTTAGAGAGAGAGAGAGTACTGAGAGAGATAGAGGATAGAGGAGAGAGAAAGAGGGAGATCGGACAAAAGTAGAGAGAGAAATATGGGATCGGACAAAAGTTTTTAGAGAGAGAGAGAGGAGAGAGATAAAGGGATAAAAGAATGTCGGAGGGGAGTCTTCAATCAAGTAGCAGTGAACCAAATATGGTCTAAATAGAGTGAGAAATGGATAAAAGAAGGTGAGGTTAAGAGAGAGAAAAACGAAGAAAGAATGTCTAGAGAGCAGAGGGGTGTCCCAGAAAATAATAAGAAAAGTAGGAAAAAAAATGTATAAAAGGGATAGAACAAGAGAGAGAAAGAAATAGAGGGGAAGAGAGAGAATTTGAGGTCTACATATAGGACTGTACCTGAGGGAGTATATTGCCTACTTACTCCCTCGGGGATAGTTTTTAGGACCCAGTTTTTGGGAATGGAACATCTTCAACCCATCAATTGCATTATACAAAAAGAATTCTAAATTACATTCTCTATGGGCTTGAAAAAATTGCTTTAAGAATGAATACAGACCGTCCAATATTTTACTGGTGAGATCTAAGAGTTGAATACCTCAAAATTCGATATTTCTATTTAGAATAAAGTAATCTAGTGGTTTTTAGGCAGTTCTCAATATTTTGGATCAAATAAGTCTTCCGATTTAGCTTGAGGGAATAATATACAGTATGCTCTTGCGAGATCATAGTAAAGCTAAATTTTTTCTAATATCCCTTAACATTTTTTAAATAAAAAATCCATCGTTGTAATTCATGCATGTTCCTATTTTCTTGGTTTTTTATTTTCCCAAAAATACCTTTGGTTCAACCTTTAAATATTCGAACCAGAATTATTGAGTGATCACAAGTTGAAATTGTAAACCGGTACTTTGTAAACTGACCGGTTCATATTTGAAATTAAGAGCTGGTATACTTAAAATTATGGAAATTTCAAAATCGGACCGCGGCCACCCCCAAACTATTGAGACATTTAGTCTGGTCAAAATAGTTGAACCAGTTGGGCAAGAATTTAGAGAAAAAAGGATAAATTTTAATATAGTAGTTTAAAAATTAAAATAAATTTAAAAATTTGGCAAACGTAATTTAGCTAGTTGAATCGGTAAAAATTATTTGGTTGTACTAGCCAAAACTAATAAAACATTAACGTTTTGACTAATTTTCAACTAAATTCAATTTTTAACTTGGACCAGATTGGTCAAAGCACCCGCTAAAACTGTCCAACTGATGGGACCGATTTGCTCCGATCTTGATAATTATGTTCTCACCTATAAACGTACTTAAAGAGAAATTGCAAAGTGAGATGGTGCATTTAGAATTTTGCAATTCCAATCCCATAATTCAAAATAAACCGGTTAGTAATTTCAAAATCCAAATACATTTCTCAAAAGTTTTGGTTCGGATATTGACGTTTTTTTTTTTGTTAAAAAAGAGTATAATGAAAAAATATATTTTGAATTTCCCAAAAAAAAAAAATATCAGCAAAAATTTATTGCGTAGAATAAAGGTGGGAATAAAAGAGAAGCGTATGGTTTGCATAGAGCCGAGGCTCCAAACAATCCAAGTAAATTACACTTTAAAACAGCGTTGAGAAATGTGGTTTCAATACAGAAATATTTGGGATATCTTTAAAATATATTTTTATTTTTAATTATAAAATTTAAAGTTTTAAAAATAATATAGAAATCTATGAAAATTTGAAAATCTTGAAAATTCATAGTAAAAAAATTTGTTTCAAAATGTACTATTTTCAAAAAACTTGAAATCTATTTTTTCGTCGTGTCTATACGTCTTAATGTCGGGATGATTGTTTAGAGCCTCGGCTCCATATAAGTTTTTTTCAAAAAGAGAAAGTGAGGGTAGAGAGAGAGTCTGGGACGCTGGAAAATAACGCTTACAAAATAGGAGGGAGAAAATCTAGAGAGAGAAACTGAGAGATGAGAGAAGTAGATAAAAGCAGATAATATAGAGAGAGAAACAGAGAGATGAGAGAGAAACGGATAAAAGAAGGAAATTTAGAGAGAGAAACATAGAGATGAGAGAAATAATAAAAGAAAAAATTTTAGAGAGAGAAAGAGAGATGAGAGAGAAATGGATAAAAGAAGGTTAGTGTGAGCACTTCGTGGCATTTGCAAAGGGCTGATGCCATCTGCTTAACGTGTCGAGCGGTACCACCGTACAGAGAGAAGGTAGCGCTCCACCCCTCATTATTCTCTCCTCATCATTTATTAGCTAAAAAACCCTGCCAATTTAGTTTCTCTCTCTTCCAGATTTTTTATTCCATTAATTTTTTTTTTCTCTTTTTTTTTCTCTCTTTCAACATTTTCTCCTGCGATGAAGATTCCAGGGTTTGGAGAAGCCCCAGTTTTAATGGCGTAAATCTTGGTGCGGTTCTCCCTGGACAATGGGCCTCGCAATCTAGGGTTTCTTTCGAGATTTTTTTGAGTTGGTGATTTCGGGATCGCGGCCAGGGGCTCGGGTTCTGGTTTTTGGGGCTTTTGTGATGCTTTTGTGATGGTGTTCTGGTTACGGTGAATCGGTTTAGGATTTTCTCTTAGATAGAGATAATCAGTTGTGTTGTCCATTGGAAGCTTTGGAATTGGATTGATTTGGAGAGAGAGAGAGAGGCGGCTTTCTCCTTGATGAAACACTGAATCGAGTCTTTGAGAGAAAGAGGCGGCTTTCTCCTTGATGAATCACTGAATTGAGTATTTGAGGTGGAACCTATTTGCATTTATTGTTGCCCTTTGAATTCGGGGGTTCAATCGTGTGTATTTTATTAGAATAGGCTAATGTGAATTATTTTCGAATAAATGTTGGATTCTGGTTCTGTTTAGGGAAAATATGAGTTTTGATCGGTCGATTTTATTGGGATTGCCTTAATCTTTCAGTTTTCTGGAAAATAATTGATCAGGGTTGCATAATTACTCTTGATTAAGAGTTCTTATCAGGGGATCCGATTGAATGGTGTCAGTGCCACAGTATTTTCGAAGGATATCTAAAATTGATCGCATTAGGGTTTGGAGTGGTGACTTTGATAGGTGACAAAGGTGCCTATTTTCTGCAGTAAAACGATTAAATTCTGTTCGAGCTTGGGTTTGGTCGATGTATTCTGTTAGTTGCTAAGGTGCCTATCACTTACTGATTAAGGTCTCTACTTGCTTGTATACAGATCAAAATTTTGATCTAAACCCAGGATATTAATTAGTGGGTAAGGTGCCCATCTTCTTGGGTTCAGAGTGAACTAGGATTTTGTGGTTACTTCTATTGGATCAAGCTTGGATTGAGTTGGATCATGGAGCATTTCATTGGGGGAAAGTTCAAACTTGGGCGGAAGATCGGGAGCGGTTCATTTGGTGAGCTTTATCATGGTAAGACCTAGATTCTTCTCTTCTTTTGCATGAACATTGTGATTGGATTGAATTTTGTTTCAGCTTTTATAAGGGCTATCCTCTCTCTCTCTCTATATATATCTCTCCCACTCTCACTCACTCACTCTCTTAATGGTTTTCTTCTATGCAATTAGGTATTAATGTACAAACTGGAGAGGAAGTGGCAGTTAAGCTGGTATGCTCATTCCACTTTTGTTTGTTGGTTCTATTTTATTGTTTATTTTCTGAAGAAACAACGTGCATTATCAATACTTGGAAAATCCGTTATTGGTTTTTGTTTTCTTTATGAGTGTTTTTTTGGATCATTGAGAGTTTGAATATTTGTGACCTATAGATGAATCCGACACGCATTTATTTATAAAGATTTATGGTTTCATGAATGTACAGGTCCATGGTATCTTCCCTTTATTTTTCTTCTGTTGGTTTGATTGCGGTTATATTTGTGGTTTGCGTTAGTTTAGAACTTAAAACTGTTGTCTGTAGTTGCATGATGCTATCTTCATTTGGTAACTAAAAGGCACATTGAAATATGATGGAAATAAATTAATTTTGTATTTAGATAAAATTATGATGTAATGAGTCTGAAAATATTTTGAAAATCTTGCCCTTTTTTTTCCATTCAGAACGACATGTACTTGTCACTTTGAGATTAGTGCCTTCTTGGTTCCATTTTTGTCTTTTGTTGTGCAGCCATGTAGCGTGGATGACAGTTACAGTGATTTTCTCTTATGCTTGTCAGTCTTCATTCAATAACTCCAATTGAGCTAATTACCTTAAAAGAGTATTAGACAAATATAACTTGGTAGGAAGGTTTAAAAAAATTGGATTGTGGCACTGTGCAATTTACGATAGGTCCAAGATGATGTATTAGATTTCAGGCTGAATTTCAGCTGAAACTTAAAGTAACACTGCATATTGTATCTACCACACCTTGTGGTTTTGTAATCTTTCGTTTTTATTTATCAAAGTTTACCAGTTTCAAAGAAAAACACTGGATATTGTATTATCCAGTGAAGCTTGTCGAAAAGCATTAAATACACAGAAGATTAAAAATCAAAACTTATAATATTGTTTGAATTGTGCTTGATGAGTAGTTTCTCTTTTCGCTAACATTTTTATTATAAACATGTTCCTGAAATACAAAGGAGGAATGAATTTACAGAGATGTCTAAGTGGCATCTTGGTGTCCCTTTGCTCAAACAACTGATCTTGAACCATTTAACTATCAGCCAACTGATCTGCATCATGATGAACCTCTGTAAGAAATGACTAAAAGTGATACTGTTCATAGAGAAATACAGCAATCAAATATTTTCTCAAAAGTATCTAGCAACGACTAGAATAGCCATACCTCCTTTTTTGCCCATCTGAGAATGTTGAGAAAATCACCCTATGCAATGACTGAACCTCTTAGTCTTGGCAAAGCTTAAGCAAGTTATTGGTGCTTAGCTTCTGCATACAAAGAGGCATAGCAACCAAACGGCGCTGAATATGGCAGCAGAGAGAAAACCCCTGAATTCTATTCTGATTAATAGCCACATAATGACCTTGATCTGAACCCTTCCATAGAAGATTAAAGTCGGTGAGTTTCAGCGTTGTTTCCTTGGGAATGCCCAAGGGTTGATCATTGCCTTTATATTTTTCCTTCAGCATCTGAACCCTTCCGTAGAAGATTAAACTCGGTGAGTTTCAGCGTTGTTTCCATGGGAATGCCCAAGGGATTATCGTTGCCTTTATTTTTCCTTTAGCACCAGCACACAAGTGACAATACCCTCTCTTCTTCACTGGAGGGGAATTTATGTGAAGATGGTTGATTTTGTATGGAGTTTAGGGGCAATTGAATGTCTAGATTCATAACACAGGGGGGCCGAAGCACACCTCATGTGGAATTGGCATCCAGGGCCCTGTCATTACATGGATCCAGGGCCCTGTAATTCTTATTGGATCAAATGCGTTTTGGGGCTTGACGATTACGATGGATGAGGGCTTAAGTTTCTTTACGTTCTTTTTCTGTGATAGTAAATTGTCATCTAAATAATTATTTTGTATCCCTGGAGGCTTAAGACAAGAGAACAACATTTTCATTAATTTTATTATGTAAGCATTCGGCTGTATTGGTGGTAGGGCTACTTGTGTATGGCTGCTTGAAGGATTTGCTGTGGCTTCATGAGGTCCTTCCAGTTTCTTGTTGATTGTAATGCCCACCTATACTAGGGTGATAAATGTTAACTGCAGAAGAAGAGGAGTGGAGTGGATTGGGGGGTTCTTGTATGAGGTTGAACTTGAGCACCTTGCACACTTATTCCTTGACAAATAAAGTTCATGCAGTTCTCACCATGGTCGAGGGGTGAGACCACTTTCCAGAAAAAATTTCAAGGGGCATTATCCGCTCTAGCATTTGCCTTAACAAGGTTTAAAAAACGCTAGGTGGCCGGCCTGGCGCCCAAAACCTTAGGCACCGTGTTGTACAAGTTATATAGATATGTAATATATATATACATATATTTGTGTCAATTTTAGAATTTATTACATCTGAAAATATTGTAACATATGTTTTTATGTTAAAAAATATGACATATCGCATGTTGAGAATAAATTTGTTAAAAAATTCAAAATTCAAAATTCAAACCATACAAAATTTAAAAGTCTAATAAGATATGTATAGTAATAGTCTCCAACTCACCATATTTCATATTTCATAATAAGTGAAAAGGTTTAGGAAGGTTCTTCAAACCACAAAAAATACTTTTGATTCTCAGAAACAGGTATAGCTAAAAGATTGAGGATTTATGGAATTTTTCTTTTAACTTTGGGGGGTTGAAAATAACCCCCATAACCCATTTAAACCTCAAAATTACCCCATTTTCTCTTTTGGGTATTTTAAAAAAAAAGAAAGCCACATACCTGGGCGCCCGCCCAGTTACATCCGCCCGTGTAGGGCCGCCTGGGTTTGGGCGTGCGGTATTTTGGTCCAGGCCACCTAGGCGGGCGCCTAGGAGCCGGGCAGATCGTTTTTTAAAACATTGTGCCTTAATAAAATGTGCGGAACAGATAAATCTTGTGTACATGCAAGGAGCTGTACATTACAAATGATATAAAAATTGGGTAAATAATAGACCTTTCTATGTTGACTGTTACTTGTGAGATTATCGCTTAATGGTTGACCTCCCATAAGTATATTCTGGTACAGAATGTCAACTCGCACAAGGAAGACTCCCTTGGATGGACTCTACCATTAAAGCCTCATAGAGCTCCATTATATGTATATCTGAAGGTGCCACATCATGTGTATCTATGTATGTATGTGTACGAACATATCACAATATATTGTGTTTTGCGGCTTTGCCTGGTGACTCTTCTCTATCAATCAGAATATTTTACTGCACTTTTCGCTAGCAGCGCTACAGATCAAAAGTTATGCATTGAAAGCCTCAAGAACTCCTATTTCTCTAACCTCATGTCTTTCCTAAAACCATATGTAGCCCTATAGATGACCATCCATAAATGTGCTTCCTTCTCACCATATCAGAATATTTTACTGCACTTTTCGCTAGCAGCGCTACAGATCAAAAGTTATGCATTGAAAGCCTCAAGAACTCCTATTTTTCTAACCTCATGTCTTTCCTAAAACCATATGTAGCCCTATAGATGACCATCCATAAATGTGCTTCCTTCTCACCATATGTCCAGTGTTTGCTATTCTACGAGTTCATTGTGAAACTCTCTTTACCTTCTTATCTCTAAACATCCCTCCTTTGATTTACACTCATCTTTCTAACCAACCAACTCCTCCCCCTCAACCCAGGAACTTCCTTTGTAATCTCTCAAACTTCTCCTCCGCAGAGAAATGCATCTGAAAAAATACCATGTAATATGTGGGAGTGCTGGTGAACAACACTTTTATTATGAACCTCCTCGGGAGACAAAAATTGGCCTATGTCTAGAAGCTTTCCATATGGGGCCTCATCGCGCTTCCATGTGCCTTTACCACAAGGTTTCAAAAACTCTAGGCAGCCCCTAGGCGGCCTGCCTGGCGCCCAGCGCCTAGGCGGTCGCCTAGAACCGCAGGCGCCCTGTAGTTTTTTTCCCTTTGGGGGTTTTCATATATTTAGGGTTTTTTTTTTTTTCTCACTCTGGGGTTTAAAAATAAACCCCATAACGTTTTTATACAACCTTGAGGGTCAAAATGACCCCTTTGTCCTTCCGAGCGATTTAAAAAAATGAAAAAAGGCCTTACGGCCCTAGGCGCCCTCCTAGGTACATCCGCTCGTGTAGGGCTGCCTGGGTCTAGGCATGCGGATTTTTGGTCTAGGCCGCCTAGGTGCCAGGCGGACTGTTTTTTAAAACATTGCTTTACCATGCTAGTTCCAATCACTCTTCTTAGGTTTTTATTTGAAGTTCAAATAACTTAGTTTCTCTTTTCCTATGCCTTTGATAAGGGACATGTTACAGTTTTATTTTTTAATGATTTAATGTCATTTTGAAAATGCTTGTGTGCTTCAGTGTTATTTAGTTTTAAGGTTTTAATCAAGTATTCAAGTTACCATGCCAGTTCCAATCACACTTCTTAGGTTTTTATTTGAAGTTCAAATAACTTAGTTTCTCTTTTCATATGCCTTTGAGAAAGGGACATGTTACAGTTTTATTTTTTAATGATTTAATGTCATTTTGAAAATGCTTGTGTGATTCAGTGTTATTTACTTTTGAGGTTCTTAATCAAGAATTCAAGTTACTTTAGAGTCTCTCCCTCTCTAAACTGGAAGGTCCTGCACGGGTGTCAAAAGTGCGGTGCCATAATTTTTTTTTGCTAGAGTTTAACTTTATTTTTGTTCTCATTGTGATATGCAGGAGTCTGTGAAGACTAAGCATCCCCAGCTTCACTATGAATCTAAACTATATATTCTTTTTCAAGGAGGCAGTGAGTTTTACTTGTGAAATGTTAATTGCTCTTTTTATTGAGTTTTACACCTTAAGAGCTCAACAGAAAAAAAGAGAGAAAAAAAATACAAAAGGAGAGTTCTTTATCTATTTGTGTTTGATTTTTATTTATGATTTGCTGCTGAAATGTAGCGGGAATCCCCAATCTGAAGTGGTTCAGTGTGGAGGGTGACTATAATGTCATGGCTATTGACCTTCTTGGACCCAGTTTGGAAGACTTATTCAACTATTGCAATCGCAAATTTTCACTGAAAACTGTCTTAATGCTTGCGGATCAGTTGGTGAGTGCCTTGAAATTTCCATTCTTTCACCAAAAAAAGAGAAAAGAGTGTTTTGAAATCCTGTTTCATTTATTTTTATTTGGCATTGATTAGGAGAATCTCTCTTATTTCCAGCTATTGTTTATTATTAAAATCATGTGGATTTACTGTTTCCTTACTTGGTCTGCACTGGTTTTGCTTCGGTTAAGATTAACCGGGTTGAGTATGTTCACTCCAAAGGCTTCCTTCATCGTGATATAAAGCCAGACAACTTTCTTATGGGTTTAGGGAGGAAAGCGAATCAGGTATTTCATCGTCTAATATATCTCTTATATCTCCTATTTCATTCGTTTCTTTTTCAATGTCCTTTTTATGGGCTTTCAGAAGTCAATGCTTGGGGATTCTAGATTAGATATTTTATTTTGTTTTGATAGTCCTGTGAGCATGCTTTCGAAACTTTGTTTTCCGCTTCAATTCATTTAGGACATACTGCCATCCCAAATGATGGTTTGGGGGCATTTTGCAAATGACTTAGTCTGTAAAAGCAAAACAAAATTTGTTTGCAAGATGGCCCATGTGAATGCCCCATTCCAATGAAACTTCACCCGCAAAAAGAGGCCTAAACTGCGAATGAAAGATAAAACAGAGAGATCTGACCCTCATTTTTTCGGTTTCTTGTCTTGGTAGCAGTACCAGAAAAAGAAAAAAAAAAAAAAAACCTGCATTTCAATGAGTTGCAGAGAAGCTCAAGGCCATGGTCATGTTTGAGGAATCAAAGGATTCAAAGCCCCAATCCATAGGCCCTGGTTCTCCACGTGAATTCATCCCTCACATGGAAACCTAGGTTTAATCAACCATTCAAGACCAGCAAAGCACAAAAAATTCAAGGAAAAAATAATACGATAGGTAAAAAGAACGAAAAGAAACAGAGAAAGGGGCTATTAAGAAGGAAAACCAGAAACCAAGAGCTGAGAGAGAGAAATGTGTCTTCCTTGTAAGCAATGCTCATAACCAGAAGAGATCCCATCAATTATAGATTCAAAGAACTGAGAATCAGAAACGCTCAACCCAAAAGGGAAAGGGTCGGACCCTTACCATTTACTGCCACAACTCTACACACTCCAAGAACACGTGTAAGAACCTCCTAATAATCAGAGAATAGCGTATACCCTCATCATAAGATAGAGAAACCAAGAAAAGTAGAGGGACAAACCACTTAAACCAGAGGATCCAAAAAAACCCAATGAGGAAATACCACTCATAGGTTCAGAATTCATGATAAGATGTGGCAAAGCTTTACGTTAGCTTCCTACCTAACGCAATCCACCTCCTTTACCCGGGCTTGGGACTGGTTAAGCGAAAGTTTAAGGTCCTCACTTATTAGACCAACAAGGAAAACCCTCTGATACCACTAAATTAGAGGAAGAGGAGGTGGAACAGAGAGAATAGATTGATTTAGTGAAATGCTTTAGTGAATTTTTATGAACTCGTAAATTTGACTGCGTTTTGGGGAATTTGGTGAAATTTCATAAATTTCCGTGAATTTTTGGTGAATTTGATGAGTTTCGATGGAGGGCTCACCCAACTTATGCTCTCAAGTAGCAGCCAAACTGCCCTCAACTGTGTATTAATTTAATTGCAGCTTGAAAAATTTCAGCAGTCAGCCAACTGTATTGGGGAAAATATGGATTCCTTTTCATTTGGAGCCAACAAAGCCATAGAGCATTCTTCCATGCCTGTGATGCCTTGTACTGGATATTCTCCAATGATCACCCTTCTGATTGGACCTGTACTCTATTCACAACTTTAGCCCATTCTTTCTACTACACCTTTTTCACCCTTCTAATTTGGATGCAGATCTTGCCTTGCATTATTTGTTCTCTCTACATGTTTTCCTTTTTTTTTGGGGAACGTGTTAACTGTGATGCTAAGTAAACGAGATTACAAGAGGAGAGAAGAAGTAAAGGCACCCACAGGCTGGGTCCCCTGTGCAAAACCCAAAAGGGTCCAAAAAAATGGTTTCAACCCCCAAAGGAGTCTCAAAAAATGCTATACATCTGAAAACCAAAAATAAAATGTACAAAAAATGGGGGCTTTGAGCACAAAAAGTTGCTAAATGGATCCCCCTAGGATTCTTCCATCCGAAGACTCCCTCCCTCATGAGGGTGTCGGCTGCCACGTTGGCTTCTCTCCAAATATGCCTCCATGAGACATGAGTATCCCTGCAAATATGAAATATTTCATAAAAAATGTTGTCCACTCTCCATGGGCAAGGTGACGCTCTAGAGGCCCAAGAGAGAACATTTTCTGAGTCCCCCTCTACGACTGTAGGAGGACTCCATGAGAGGGTGAAATAAATGTTGTTGAGATCTGTCAGACTGCCATGTTGCAACTCATCAGCCATTAGCTTGATGAGAGCGATTCCCTATGGATTGTGGGTGCCCGTGGGCCCCACGTCCAGTACTCACACTCTAGCCATGTGGCAATGTGTCCAGATTGCTGTGCATGTCTCCACCGTGTCAATGGAAAGGGATGTACAACCTATAGAACAGATCCTGTTCAAGTAAGGTCTTTCTCAAGGTGGAGTTTTTATCTTCTTAGTTTCTCTTTGAACCTATGTTTCTCCATTACTTCCCCCTTCATCATATCTATTTTCAGCTGGTTAGATTTAAACGTATGGCAAATTATAAGTCTGCACATAATGTGAATGCTTCTACAACATAACAACATATGGGTGGTTTGCCAGGGCAGACAGTGGTGATGAGGCATAATTCTGCTGGAATATCTTTATCTCCTAAACCACGGTTAATTTTTGTTGTCTCTCTTGATAGCAAATGCTCTACCTCTTGTTGTTTAAGATACGCGTGATGTGCATGCATGCTGTACTTACCCAAAACATATTAGTTATTTTGTTATGTCTTCTCACTGGAATGAAACTCTGACCTTCTCTTCTCAGCTCTCAGAATCTTATGAAGCCAGTTTGTCTTGTTAATGACACTTTGCTGCGTACTGCGTACTTTCTCCATGAAGGATTTGTAGTGCCCACTACACCTGAACTTCATCCTACCCATATCCAGAAACTGTGAAATTTCTCTTTTATGTTATCTGGTTAGCATTTGCCATGCAATCCCTTGAACATGGTTTCCCATATCTAATTCTGTTTAAAGTCTATCCTCTTAACACCTTGCGAAGCTCATTATCATCCTCACCAGTTGTGCTTACCTGTTCTATGCCCTCCTCAATTGTGACATCTCAATTCTGTTTCTGCTTAAAATCCCTACTTTGGACCTAATGTATATCCCTTTTGAGGCCTGTCAACTTGTTGGCTCTTTTCGGTAGCAGTCCTCTGGATTCCAGGTTCACCACCCCACAGCAGCCTATGCCATGGCCCTTACACCGCACAGCTTCACCTGATGCTTTGCCCAGGTGGGCAAATCATCTCATACTTCATTTGCCTCATAATTCAACATTCGTCTTTCTTGGCATCCTCCATATATCTTTCTCATGCCTACTTTCACTATAAGGGAGTCATACGGTTTTCATCAATCATGCAGACACCTCTCTCTATCTATCTATCTCTCTCTCTCTCTCTCTCTCTCTCTCTCTCTCTCTCTCTCTCTCTCTCTCTCTCTCTCT